GCTCTGGCACAAACCAGAGAAATATCTATCTGTGTTTCATTGACTATGCAAAGGCATTTGACTGTGGATTACAACAAACTGTGGCTGAGAAGAATGGGAGTCCCAGAACACTTGACTTTGCTTATGAGAAACCTGTACGTGGAGCAGGAGGCAGTTGTCAGAACAGAGCAAGGAAACACTTCATAATGATTTTTCATTACAGGTGTACTCCAGGGATGTCTCAGATCTTCATACCTTTTCAATCTATATGCAGAATAGTTCATCTGAGAGGCTGGGTTCTATGAGGAGAAATGTGGCATCAGGTTTGGAGGAAGACTCATCAACAACCTGTGTTATGCAGATGAAACAAACTTGTTTGCTGAAACTGAGGAGGATCTGAAGCGCTTGCTGCATAAGATCAAGGACCGCAGCCTTAAATAAGGTTTGAAGCTCAATATCAAGAAAACAGAGAGTCTCACCACAGAGTCAACTGGCAGCATCATAATAAATAGTGAAGAGATTGAGATTGATAACAGTTTCAGTTTGCTTGGCTCCATAGTCAACACTCTTGGTACCAGCAGTCAGGAAATCAAAAGATGAATTGCATTGGGAAGGTCTGCTGTCAGAGACCTCTCCAGTGTATTGTAGAACAATGGTGTCAGTCTGTAGGCTAAGGTGCACCTGATCCAGGCAATGGTCTTTGCAATTACTTGATATGCGTCAGAAAGCAGGATAATGACTAGGGATGAGAGAAGGAGAATTGATGTCTTTGAGCTGTGGTGCTGGAGAAAAGTATTGAATATACGATGGCCTGCTAGGAAAACAAACAGGTTCATCTTAGAGAGGGTGAAACTATGCTGCTGAAGCTTTGTCTGACATACTCTGGGCATGTTGCAAGGAGGGACCAGTCCTTGGAGAGGGGCATCAGGCTTGGGAGAGTAGAGGGACAGGACAGGAGAGGAAGACCCTCCATGACATGGATTAACTCAAGAATTGGAGTTACTGGGGTAGGTGTGTAAGATGATAAGTTTGGCTCAGTTTACAGCAGGGTTCAGAGCTGTTTTACATAGGATCTCTATGAGTCACAAGTGACTTGACGGTACAAAACAACAAGAAAAATTGATGCTTTGAGTTGTGGTGTTGGCAAAAAGTATTAGATATCCCATGGCCTGCCAAAAGAACAGATATGTCTTGAAAAAGTGCAACCAGGGTTCTCCTTAGAGACAAAGATGGTGACAGTTGGTCTCATATTCTTTTTTTTTTCTTTTCAATTTTATTTTATACTTTTGTGTGTGTGTGTGTGTGTGTGTGTGTGTGTGTGTGTGTGTGTGTGTACCGTCAGAATGGATCTGATTGGTACAGGAGGAGATTGCCCCTCCTTCTCTAGCAGAGCATCTAGTGGATTCGAACCACACACCTCCGGGATCACAGTACAGCTTCTTGCCACTAAGCCACCAGAGCTCCCTTGCTCTCACATTCTTTGAGCATGTTGTCAGGAGCCACCGCACAGCCCTTGGAAAAAGACATTGTGCTGGGAAAAGTAGAGGGTCAGTCAAAGAGATAGATGGACACAGTGACTACAATGGACTTGAGCATAGTGGAGATTCTAAGGATGATGCAGGGCAGGGTAAGGTTTTCCTCTGCTGTTCACAGGACTCTTTGAGAAGTATTCATACATATGTATCTTGAGAAGGTATGTATCTCTTTATAAAGAGATATATGCATATATACATGGGAAGAGATTGCCCATCTTTCTCCCTGTTGGTAGATTCAAACTTCTAGAAAGTCATGGCCTCTGGGTTAACTGTGCAACTCTCTGTGGACTAAGCCACCAAAGCTTCCTTTTGCATACATACATACACAAACACATATGTATATGTGATTCATGCATAGATTTTTTTCCTTTTTATTAATTTTAATGAAAATTTATAGAGACTTCGTATTTCCATTTGTTCATTGTTATACTTTTCTCCCTGTCCACCCCCAGCCCCCCGCCCCATACACTCTTCTCTTTGAAAAGTAAAAGAAAAATTCTTTCATTGTTTTATAATCCCTCCCCCCAGGTCCACTCCACTGTGCAGCCTTCCTTCTGGACTCCTGTCATGACAATGATACCTAATCACATATCCCTTTTAGACAGTCTTCCCCTCAACTGTTTCAACGCAGAATACATTATTGAACCCATCTTTCTCAGCCTCCCCCCAACCCGATGTCAACAGTGGCACTATGCAGTGTTTGTCCTTTTGTGACTGAGATATTTCACTCATCATGCATAGATTTTACATGAGTACAAATAAGTGTTCTGAGACCCACATTCTTCTCAATGTTATTTAGATCCACACAGTCAGATACCTCTGCATAGTCAAGAAAAGCCCCTACTTTCATCCAAGATCCATCTAACATCAGCAATAATAATAATACCTTGTTCCATGGCTTCTTCTGAATCTAGCTTGAACATATGGCAGTTCCCATTTGATGTACTTTCATAGATATTTTTAAATAATCTTCAGCAACATTTTACTTGTACGTGTTCTACTGTTCAGTCATTTCTGCACTGTGCTGGATTACTGGGGATTTTTAAGGCACAAATGTGGATCTCTCCCAGTCAGTTGACCAAATTTCTTGGCATTAGCTAGTGAGCATATGTTTGATGAAACACCTTAACTGGTATTTCACCAAATCAGAGAGTCTTCTTTTTTGCCAATGCCTCCAGTTCGAACTCCTTCCTTTATTACTGTTGCTTCTTGCTAGTATGCTACTTCCGGAAATAGTTCAGTGCTAACCAATTCTTTTTGGTACAGTGACTGTATATTCCTTCAACCTTCTTTTGATGCTTCCTGCATCATTCACTATTTTGCTCACAGAATCCTTCAGTATTGCAAGTTGACACTTGAATTTGTTCTTCAGTTCTTTCAGTTTGAGAAACGTCAAGCATGTTCTTCCTTTTCTGTGTTCTAACTCTAGCTACTTAGACACTTAAAAAAAATTATCTTCTTGAGCCTCCCTTTGAACTCTTCTGTTCAGCTTTCATATTTCATTATTTCTTTCCTTTGTTTTTGGCTTTTCTTCACTGAATAGCAAATTTCAAAATCTCTCTGACATTTTCTTTGGGCTTTGCTTTCTCGCTTGTGTGTTTGTTTGTTTGTTTGTTTAATGATGTTTTGCTCTTTTCATGAGTTATATCCTTAATTTCATCCCACAACTCATCTGGTTACTAGTGTCCAGTACATCAAATCTGGAGATTAATTTTGCATGTGGGACATGCAAAATGAAAATTAAACTGTGCCTCACATATTTTAAAGTATTGTATAAATGTGTGTGTGTGTGTGGTGTTTTGTTGTGTGCCATTGAGTTGGAACTGACTCACAGCTAGCCCTCCAGTGGGTTTTCAGAGGCAGTGAATCACACAGAAGGAGATTGCCCATCCTTCTCCCATGGAGCAGCTGGTGGACATGAACCAAGTGCCTTTGAGACTGCAGTGTGGCATCTTACCACTAAACCATCAGACTCTATATATATATTTAACAAGATGGATTAACACCGTTGCTGCAATATTAGCCCCAAACATAACAATGACTCAGAATGGTACAAAACCAAGCAACCTTTCGTTCTTTTGTACTTGGGTTGTTATGAGTCAGAACTGATTTGGGGCACCTAACAACAACTATCTCTATATATCTGAAGGCTCTGGTGGCCTACTGGTAAGGAGTCGGGCTGCCAACACAGAGGGATGAAGGTCAAACCTTCCGGCTGCTCTGTGGGAAGAAGACGGGCAGTCTCCTCCTGTGTAAAGGATCATCTGAGCTGGTTCTGACTTAGCAGTACATAACAACAACGTGTGTGTGTGTGTGTGTGTGTGTGTGTGTGTATTCCCCCCTCCGCTGAGCCAGTGCACCTCAAGTGCAGCCATCTGTACAGCCATCACCTGCGTGTCCGTGTAAGCTTGCATGTTACCTTGATGTGAGCACGTTTCAGGAGAGCTTGCCCACTAAAACAGAGAGAGAAAGGCTTAGCAATCTACTTCTGAAATTAAGTCAATGAAATGGATCGAAATGGTCTGGTCTGCAACGGATCCTGGGGGTGATGTAGAAGCAGCAGCTTTTTTTCCTGCTCTGCATGAGTTTGCGGTAAGTTGGGGCCCACTAAATGGCAGCTTACTAATAAGCATCTGTAAGTATAGTCTTTCAACGTTTAACTGCTTTAATCATGATTATACTTTGACTTTGTAAACAACAGCTCTGAACAGCTAATGTCCCTCATCATAATCCTTGAAGAGCCTTAGCCATGGTCCTGGTGGGGAAGCAGCAAGCACCTCACCTTACATAGGAATGAGGGCATCCTAAGCTGTCCTCACTTCCTCAGTCTCTACCCTTTAACCCATGCAGTCACTGTGGATATCACCATCTGACCTGACTTAGGAGCCCCAAGGCAGAAGAAAGGCTGGAGGGGCCCAGAGAAGGTGGCCTGGGAGTAAGTGTGCAGATGCGATCCATTATTCACATTGTAGAAGGAAACATCTCCAGCCTCATAGTCCAAGAAGATCCCCATGTGGCTTGGGGGCTCCATCAGGGTGAAAGGGGTGGCAGCTGAGAGCATGGGTAAGTATTTGTCCCCCTTGGACAGCTGTACAACCCAGAATCCGTTCTCTGGGGACTTGGGGACCCGGTCCTTTCGGCTGATGTTGTCTCTACACACGCCCAGAGCCCATAGTGCATCCCCAGTTAGGTTCATGCCCACCTCCCAGTAGTGTCTCCCCTCAGAGAAGGTTGTCTGGCCCACCACACAGGGGTAGGCGAGGAACCTGTCTTTGCTGCAGATCGTGCCGTCCACGGGGAAGTTGAGGTAGCGCCTCTCCTGGCTCTCGTACAGGAGGAGATAGGGGTACGCTGTGGCTGCGTCAGGTACCACATCCACTACAGGTAGCAGGGGGACAGGGGAAAGCAGAGCCATTTTGGGTTAAAGCTGGGATGACTGTCTTCCTGGGTGCAATGGGGAAAACCTAGCAAGTGTCATGTTATCTGCTGACCAACTTCTCAAGTGGCAGGAAAACCTGGAATAGGGCTTTCTCCTATGTTCCTCTTAACTCCATAAACATCTTTTCTCTATTGATACTAGCTGTCAGGCTTGACAATTCAGTCTGTCCTTGGAAGTAGAGTCCTCATCTTTGGGAGCATGCCATTCAGACCATCTTAACCCATTGTGTTGGAGTTTATTGGTAAAGCCAAGGTCAAAGGCTTGGTCGTCCACAGATGATTTTACCCAACATTCACGTAACTGAGTCTGTGGGTTCTTGATGATCCCCTACTCCAACTGTGGATGCTGGCATTGATAATGAGAGAGCAGCGGGGACCATGTGGGCAGTTCAAGCTACATCCTTCTTAATGGGAAAGAGAGCATTTTCCCATGGCATAGGACCTCAATTAAAGCTATCTGCTAATGAGGGCAGCAATGAGAACAGAATGCAAATATAATGAAACCTCCTATTCCAGGACACAGTCTACTATGTGGTGTTTAGCTCCTGAGGGACAGTGTGGTCCAATCCCAGCCCTGGGCCCCTCTGCTTACCTTGGAAACACTTGAGTACCTCTATCTGCCCAGGAACTCTGCACACTGTTGTCAGGTTGGTGGGGATGGCCTCTGGGTACTGTATGTTCAGGTTCTTTATCCTCCAGTGAACACAGTTCTCATTACTTCCTCTGGCTCAACAAGGGGCCCTCCCATCCCCCATCACTGTTTCCAGGGAAGCACACATAACCGCATACCTGTCAAGTGGATGGTTCATATCCTGTAAGGAAGAAAAGTGGAGATAGGAATCATTAGAGCTCTTAGCAAGTCCCTCCCCTCACCATCATCCTTAAAACTGCCAAAATTTCTCCCTTGTACACTTCTCAGAGTAGCTGGTTATCTCTTTCAGGCATTTCCTCTCCAGAATTTTTGAACCACCCATCCCCACCTGCCCTCGTGCCCCAGCCTTAGCCCAGACTCATCCTCTCATCCATGGTCAGGCGTGTGAAATGCAGTCAGGAAGCAGGAAAGAAGGGAATGGTTCAGAGACAAGGCCATGTATGAAAAGGAGCCCTTAGTACTTTGAAATCAGACACTCCTGTGACCTGGAGCAATGTCAATGCTTTTGTGTGTGACTGGGGTGGGGCACTGACCCCACTACTTTAGACTTAATTATGTCTCCAAAGTAATTCTGAACTCCTGTACTTTTTAAATGAAATTGAGTGTTCCCCCAAATGTTTTCTAAATCTAATAGATTAAAATGTATTTCTAAATCTTATTTATGGATGTAATTCCATTTGAGAAATTTTCTTCGTTAATGTCAATGAAGAGGTGTCTTAAACAACTTTTTATTTTATTTTTTTAACTTTTTATTGTCATTTGAGTCTCATACTTTGAATAAATGCTTACAGAGCAAATAGGTAAAACCACTCCTTTAAAAAACAAAACAAAACAAAACACCAATGTCAAAAGAGCAGATTAGACACAAAAGCAAGGATGCCCCAATGGGGAAGAGATATTCCAGGCCACTTGAATAGTAATAGAGGAACAGAAACTGAAGAGAAACAAAGACCTTCCATTGGGAGCTAGTAGAGAGAGAAAGCCTTCCCCTAGAGCCAGTGCCTTGGATTTGGACTGCTAGCCTCCATCATGTTTGGAAAAATGGAAGGTCAGCGAAGAAGAGGAAGCCCTTCAACAAGATGAGTTGGTACAGTGTCTGCAGCAATGAACTCTAAAATGCCAGGGATGAGAAGAATGGCGCAGGGCAGGGCAGGGTTCAGATCTGTTATTCACAGGGTCACTAGGAGGTGCACTTGACTCCATGACACTTAACAACAACCACCTTCTAAACTAGGAGACAATGAACTGTTTGCTAAAGCTATCCATTTGTGATATTTCTGTTATAGCAGTACTAAGTAACTCAGATGTCAGTTTAAAGATTAAGGTTTGCCTGGCAAGGTTTGCATAGTAAGCCTTGTCATGTCAATTGTTTCATATGCTTGTGAACACTGGACTGTGAATAAGGAAGACCAAAGAATTGACCCCTTTGAGTTGTGGTTCTACGGAACAGAAGTGAATCCATGGGACCAAAGACTGACAAAAGAACAAGCAAATCTGTTTTGGAAAAAGTAGATCCAGGGTGCTCGTTAGAGGCAAGGATGGTGAGACGGGGCCTCACATAGTTAGGACGTGTTTTCAGGAAGTTCTTAGAATGAGGACAGGATTCTTGGACAGATGGAAGGTCAGAAAAAGAAAAGAAGAACTTCAACAAGATGAATTGGCATTGTGACTGCAACAATGGGCTTAAGCATTCTTCAGAAAGTCTAGCTTCTAAAATGATTTGCTCAGCGTACCAATTGAGTAGATATGGAGAAAGGATACGACCCTGGCGTACACTTTCTTGATCTTAAGCCATGCAGTGTTCTTTTGCTCTGTTCCAACAACAGCTTCTTGGTATGGGTATAGGTTTTGTATGAGCATAAGTATGTGTTTGGGATCCCATTGTCTTCAATATTAGTCATAGTTTTATGATCCACAGAGCCAAAAGCCACTGGATAATCAATAAAACAAATAGACAAAAGGGTCAGCTATGTGTGGGTTCCAACTTGAAAACACACAACACCAACTGGTATTCTCAACTTTCACTCAGGATCCATGTTACATCAGCAATGATATCCCTGGTATCATGGCTTCTTCTAAACCATCCCTGGTCTGATGGCTTCTTTTAAACCCAACTTAAACTTCTGGAAGTTCTCTGTTAATGAATTGTTCTGTTTTTAGATGATATTCAACAATATTTTTCCTGGATGTGATATTGATGATATTGGTCAATAATTTCCACATTCTGTTGTGTAGCATTTCTTGGGAATGGGAACAAATATAGATCTCTTCCAGTCAGCCAGCCAATCAGCTCTCCTCCAAATTTCCTGGCATAGTCTGGTAAGCACGTCCATAGCTGCATGGAAATACCATATGAGCAAGAAAGGAAGAAGTTCAGGCTAAACTGAAAGTACTGGCAAAAACTAAGGCCCGAAGAATCAATGGTATATCAGTTGACATGACTCTGATCTTCTTGTTATTATTATGTGCCATCCAGTTGAGTATGGCTCATAGCAACACTACGCACACCAAATCTAAATTTTGCCCTATCCTGTGCCTTTCTCACCATCTCATTTGGGGTTTTCCACTCTTTTACTGACCCTCTACATTTTCAAGCATTCGGCTTCACCTTTTCCAAGGCATACTTGTTTGTTCTTTTGGCAGTTCATGACATATTCAGCACTCTTCTCCAATACCATAACTCAAAGGTATCAATTCTTCTTCTGTCAGCCTATGCATTGTTCAGCTTTCAGATGAATAGTAAGTAATGGAAAAGACCATTGCCTGAATTAGGCACTTGGAGATCAATAAACAGGTCCTTGGAGAGGGACATCATGCTTGGGAGGGTGGAGGGGTGGCGCAAGAGGGGATGACCCTCTGTGAGATGGATTGATTCAGTGACTGGGGTAATTGGGATGGGAGTGTCAGAGGCAGTGAGATTGGCACAGGACAGAGCAGGGTTAAGGGTTGTTGTACATAGGGTCGCTATGAGTCGCAAACGACTCGATGACACATAACAACAACAACAACAACAACAACTCTCTTTTTTAAGGCCATTCACATTGTGATGTTTTGTATGACAGCTTTGGAAGCCAATACACACATGCAAGAAAAATAAAGTCATAATGTAAAGAAACTGGAGGTAAAGTGGGCGTAGAATTGGGATGGATTTGGCTCTACCAACGAGCAAGAAGACAACTTGGGGAGGAAGAAGGAAGTGGGATAACAAAATGCCCTAAAGGCTCCTTAGGAAACACCATATTTTTACATATCTTGCCTTTCAGCCCTACTAGAAAGTGATATACTAAACCTTCCAACAGTTTCCAGCCCCCATGGTTCTAGAACCAGAACATAATCCTGATGCTTGGCCAGAGAATCTTATATGTAAGATTCCTCTTCTCTTCTTACAGAGGGGCTTCCTTTTGTCTCATACAAAAGAAAAGAGAAAACTCAAGAGAACATTCCTACTCACCAGAACATGTTGACATGGTGCTGGTGTATTAGGGTGTTCAATGAGAATTTTCAAACTGTTGAGGCAGACAATCTCTTTAGTGGTTGTGGACAAATTGTTTTCAATAAAGTGGGATGTTGTTGTTGTTGTTGTTGTTGTTGTTGTTATGTGCCATCGAGTCATTTGCGACTCATAGTGACCCTGTGTACAATAGCCCCAAACCCTGCTCTATCCTGGGCCAATCTCACTGCTTCTGACACACCCATCCCGATTACCCCAGTCACTGAATGAATCCATCTCATAGAGGGTCTTCCCCTCTTGCGCCGTCCTTCCACCCTCTCAAGCATGATGTCCCCCTCCAAGGACCTGTTCCTCCTTGCAACATGCCCAAAGTATGTCAGATGAAGCCCCAGTATCCTTGCCTCCAACGAGTAGCTTGGTTTAACCCTCTCCAGGATGAATCTGTTTGTTTTCTTGGCAGTCCATGGTCCTTCAATACTCTTCTCCAGCAGCACAGCTCTAAGGCATCAATTCCCCTTCTGTCCTTCCTAATCATTGTCCAACTCTCTGATGCATAACAAGTGATTGTAAAGACCATGGCCTGTGTCAGGCATACCTGTCTCCAGAGAGACACCGTTGCTCTTGAGTACTTTAGAGATGTCCCTAACAGCAGACTTTCCCATCGCAATATGTTTTTGATTTCCTGGCTACTGGTGCCAAGAGTGTTGACGTTGGAGCCAAGCAAACTGAAGCTGTGAACAATTTCAATCTCTTCACCATCCATCCTGATTCTACCAATTGGTCCAGTGGTGAGAATCTTTGTCTTCTTGACATTGAGCCTCAGTCCATACTGAAGGCTGCAGTCTTTGACCCTCTGCAGCAAGTACATGAGGTCCTCCTCAGTTTCAGCAAGCAGGGTTGTATCATCTGCATAATGCAGATTGTTAATAGATCTTCCACCAATCCTGATGCCACAATTCTCCTCATAGAGCCCAGCCTCCCGGATAATCTGCTCTGCATACAGGTTGAAGAGGTATGGAGACAAAGTGCTATAGTCAACAAAATATTATTAAAATGATTATATAATTCATCATTTAGACTGGGACACTTTTACTGGGGATGAACCCCACAGGATGTCAAGATAATGAGAATAAAACTGGTAACCATATCTGTTACAGGACGCTGTTGTTCCCGTTAAAGGTTATGTGCATCTGGGTCACAGTGTGAATTATATTTTTGCTGTAGACTCTAGTGACAATATATGCATGGATGTATCAGAAATCTACTTGCCAGGCAACATCACCTTGGAAAACTTAAGAGCACAGAGGTTGAGTGATATGCTAGTCAACTGACTGAACCATCCTCAGAGTCCTCTTTCAACTCTGGCCATTTAACTGGCTACTGCTAATATCGCGTGTGTGCCTGCCTGGCCATGGCTCTCTCCACAGTGTGGCCACATGTTTTAAGGGGATGAAGAAGACCCAAGTTCAAAGTTACCACTTGGACTATAGAATGGAATTTAGGTGGGGTTGAGCTCTTTTGTGTGGGGCTTACTTGCCCCAGCAGGTCAGTGTCCCCCTAACACAACAGGTCAGATCTCAGTGATGGAGTGCAGTGTCTAGCCACCATGCCACCACCAGAGTGCTACAACCAATTCCAAAAGGACCAAAGATCATTGGCCTGTTCCACTGCACTGCCTGCTCACCTGCAGCATCTGCAGCGCTGAGTGTTCCCTCTTTTCTTCCAGCTCCAGGAGCAGCATCTCCAGGGAGCAGTTCTGCTGGTCCAGAAGGACTTTGTTCTCACGCAACTTCATCACCGTCGCATCCTCTTCCTTCTTCAGGGCCTGGAGAAGGCGATGCTCCTCTTCAGCCAGGAAGAGACACACCTTCTCAAATTCCATTTCAATGCGATCTCTCCGATTCTTTACGATTTCCTGGTGAGACACGGACAGTATCACCCACCTCCACTCAGGAAGGCCACCTTCAGGCTCAGTCTAATTGGTATCTTATAAAAGGAAAAGAACAGACATAGAGAAAGCGTCACACATGCAAATGGGGAAAGGCATCATATGATGATCGACTTACAAACCAAGGGACACCAAATGAAATGTGTAGTGTAGTCCCTAGGGAGTTATGCAGCTAACCCAAATGTAGCAACTCTATGGTGGTTCAAGTACACCAGCAGCTCTAAGCAGGAAGGGCAATCTCCTTCCACGCCATCGGTAGCCTTCAGAACCCCACTGGAGGGTCAGCTATGAGTCAGTTCTGACTCCATGGCAATGAGAGTTGAAGACATTGACCAGAAATAAATGGAGACAAGGACAGAGCTTCTCTTGGAGAGAGAGTGAGTACATGTCTCTGCAACTGCCCTAACTGTGGACTTGTAATTTCCAGGGCTGTGAGAAAAGAAATTCCTGTTCTTTCAAACTGTTCACTTTGTGGTAGCTATTTTATGATGGCAACACTAGGAAACAAGGGGAGTGGCAAAATCCTGAAAACAGGCAAAGCTTCTCAACTATTTTTAGAATACCCTTTTTGAGTTGGGCAACTGTTTCAAATCAACTTTGGGAGCTTTTGTTTTTCCATCCAAAGCCAGTCATTCCCCGCTCAAAGGTAGAGATCTTTGTGGAAACTGAGATGCTGTGAAATTCTGCAAACTCATGGGCACCAAACCTTGCAGGTGCTCAGGTCTCTTTCAGGCCCCATAGGGCAGTGAAGACTCTCCCTGACTTTGGCCATGTCTGAATTTATTTCAAAACCCAGTCTTCTTAAACAAAAACAGAAACAAAAAAACCCTCACAAACCCACACAGAAAACAACCCCTGTCTTCCCACCTTCTTAGCTCCATCTGTGCCCTGTAGGGCAGACACTTGCCTGCCATTCTTTCAAGGTCCTGTTGTCTCTGGCCAGCACCTCGGCAGTCTTCATCATCTCCTCTCTCAGATATTCCATGTTTTCCTCCAGTTTCACCTACAAGAGACACAAACAGTAGTGTGTGAGGACAGTAGAGCCACCTCTTCCCATAAACATTGGGTTATATTCTTCCGTAGCTGTAACCCCTCAAGACCATTCTAAGGTGGAGATGCAGGGGCTAGGAGTTTGAGTTCAATAAGTAGCAGGCTTCCTCTGAGCAGGGGAGCTCTCTGGAGAGATAGGCCACCAGACGCAGAAGAGAAACTCCTCTGTATTTAGGAATTTCCCAGTCACTGATGGCTTGATGGTAGAGTCATGTTACATACCCAAAGCTTATGCTTTGAATCCCCCAGCTGCTCTGTGGGAAGAGGATGAGCAAACGCCTCCTGTACCTCTGAAAATCTGCGAGAGGGTCTACGATGAGTTGGTTCCAACTCAGCTGTTAAAAACCAACAACAGCACTGAACATAAACACGACATACAAAGGTCATGATCAGAAACATCTCCTTGAATTTATGATAAGACAAACAGTTTGAATCCTTCTCGTGCTGGTTCGTTCACATGCTGCAAAGCTTGAGAACAGTCTGCTCCCTCACTTTCCTTCACCTTTTTTACTTGTCTCCTGCCAATGCTGATCCACTTCTTGAAAGGGTCCTGACCTCATTCAGACCATAGGAACCAATGGCAAACTGAAAAACCTGCATCCCTCAGCAGAAAAGGCCCAGAATCTTCTATTTCACTGATTCTTCAGGTACAGTCCCAGACCAGCTGCAAGAAATCCTTACGAACTTGCCAGAAACACAAATTCTTGGGTCTCACGCAATCCTGAAAATCAGAAACTCTGGAGTTGGGGCCAGTGACCTGGATTTCCCCAAATTTTGATGATGCTCAAGTATTGAAGGGCTTGAATTCTGTAACATTGCTAGTATTTTTTCAGTCACCCCTTGCCTGACCCCAAGACTTGGAACCCTCAAGTGGTGAAAACATTAATGTCCTAAAGGAAGGAAGTTCAGACTCATCTAGAGGTGCTTCAGGAGAAAGCCCTGCTGCTCTCCTCTCAAGAAACCAGCCATTGAAGGAGTGCTGGTGGTGTGGTCTGCAGGTGGTGTGTGGTCAGCAGGTAGTGTGCTGCTAACTAAAATGTTAGCCACTAAAATCCCATGTAGCACACATGGGTTTGCCGGGAATCAGAAACCATCAGTTTTTATTTTTTTTAGAAACCAATTTTTAAAAATAGGAATTAAATGCCAGTGTGCCACTAAGTGAATGAAAAGGAACTGCCTTTGTGCAGGAGGCTGCTAGTTTAAGATGTCCCTCATTCCTAAAAGGATGTCATGGATTGAATTGTGTCTCTCCCCAAAAATGTGTAATAATGTAATGTGGAAGCTATGTAATAATCCCCTATTATCTGATAAACCAAGTAATTGTGAAAGGATTAAGGTTGGAATGCAACACCCTTTAATCCAATCATCACCCTAATTCAATGTACGGGTTGATCACACTCTTGGCACCAACAGTAAGGAAATCAAAAGATGAATTGCACTGGAAGAAATCTACATTTAGGGACCTCTCCAGAATAATGAGAAGCAACGATTTCAGTCTAAAGACTAAGGTGCGCCTGATCCAGGCCATGGTCTTTGCAATTACTTGCTATGTGTCAGAGAGCTGGGCAATGACTAAGGATGAAAGAAGAAGAATTGATGCCTTTGAGTTGTGGGGCTGGAGTCTTGAACATACAATGACTGCCAAGAGTACAAATAGGTCTGTGTTGGAGAGGGTGAAACCAAGTTTCTCTCTGGAGGCTAGTATTTTGAAGCTGTCTGTCTTACTTACTTTGGGCATATGACCAGGAGGGACCAGTCCTTGGAAAAGGACATTATGTTTGGAAGGGTGAAGGGACAGCACAGGAGAGGAAAACCTTGGATGAAATGGATTTATACAGTAACTAGGGCAATGGGGGTAGGTGTGTTGCAGTCAGTGAGACTAGTTCAGGATAGGGCTGGCTTCAGAGCTGCTGTACATAGGGTCATTATGAGTCATGGGCAACACAACAGCACATAACAAAGACTAAATAGCCTAATTTTTCTCTTACTAGAGATAGAAAGAGAGGAAAGCAAGTAGGGAGATGAATGTGGGTACTTTCAGAACCACCAAGGAAGAATCGGCAGGAATAGAGTGGGCCCTTTTGCACTCAGTCCTCTGCTCAAGGAATCTCTTTGACAGGAAGGAAGGTTGGGACACACAGAGAAAAGAAAACATGGACTTTCCTCCACAACCAGGATATACTGGCCTTTTCCCTAGAGCTGGCACCCTACATTTGTTCTTTTAGACTTCTAAGCAATAAGATAATAACTTTCTGTTTGTTAAAAACATTTACTTGTGGTATCTCTCTTCTAGCAACACTAGATGACTATGAAGACGAGAACATGGACAGAAACTCAAAGGAGAGAATTAGATAAACCAGAAAGGACCATGTATGAGAGACAGAATGAAGGCAAAATCTTTCTCTGAATATATGACCTTCAGGCCATTTTGTGCTTCCCTGTTATGCTCCGCACACACTTGCTTTGCATTTCTGAGGATATAAATTGCAAAAGCCTCTGTGCAGCCACTATATATATTTCGACTGCTTCATGTGTTATGACTTGCATCGTATCCCTACAAAATAGGTGTTGAAATCCTAACCCTTTACAGACAAGGAAGGAATCAACAAGACCAGCACCTTTGTCAGACTTTCAACCTCCACAAGTGTGAGAAAACAAATTTCCTTTCTTAAAAAGCCATCCATTTAATATTCCATTGTGTGAATATACCACAGTTTCTCTATCCATTCATTTGTTGATGGGCACTTAGGTTGTTTCCAACTCCTTGCTTTTGTGAGCAAAGCCGCAGTAAACATGGGTGTGCATATATCTGCTTGGATGTCAGTTATGGTCTCTTTGGGGTTTATCCCAGTAGTGGAATTGCTGGGTCAAATGGTATCTCTATTTGCAACTTTTTGATAAAGCGCCATATCGCCTTCCACAGTGGTTGCACCATTTTACACTCTCACCAACAGTGAGTAAGTGTTCCAGTTTTTCCACAACGTTGTCAGTATTTGTTGCTTGCTGTTCTGTTAAATTTTGCTATTCTGTCTGGGTGAGATGATATCTCATAGATGTTTTAATTTTCATCTCTCTTAGAGCTAGGGATTTTGAACATTTCTTCATGTGCTTGTTAGCCACCTGAATGTCTTCTTCGGTGAAGTGTCTGTTCAACAATGGAATACTATGCTGCATTGAAAAACAAGGGACTCATGCAATATTATTGAAAATGGGTAAAAAAAATAAAATTAAAAAAGAGAAAATGGGTGACTCTGGAGGACATTATGCTGATTGAATTATCTCAGTCACAAAAGGACAAATACTGCATGGTGCCACTGTTGTAAAACAGGACTGACCTTGGGGGTGGGGAGAGTCTGAGAAAGATGGGTTCAATAACAGACGAGGGAGAAAAGTATTTAAAAGGGATATGTGATTAGGTATTTTGGTCATGACAGGAGTCTAGAGCAAAGGCTACATGGTGGAGTGGACCTGGGAGAGGGTTTATAAAACAATGAAAGAATTTTTCTTTTACTTTTCCAAGAGGGCAGTGTACTAGGGGGAAGGGTTGGGAGGGAAGAGAAAATGCAACAATGAATGAATGGAAATTCAAAGTCTCTCTAAATTTTTACGAAATTAATAATAAATTCAAATAAAACAAACAAACAAAAAAAGCCCTCCACTTGTGGTATTCATGGAACAGCTTACCAGGTAACTTAAATGACCACCAATAACCTGGGAGATGGGCTCCCTTTTGCCAGCATAGCCACCCAACAGCTATTCTAATGCTATCTTATCAGTAATAGAAAACTTCCACCATGATATAGGGGTCTATTTGTTACAGTAGTTAGCCTGACCTCACTGACAAATGCTCTCTACTCCTGGCCTTGTGGGGTGTGCCCACCTTGTAATCCTGCACAGCTTCATCAATGGGGAGCACAGTGTGGAGCCGGTGTTCTCGGGACTCTCTGCAGACGACACAGATAGGGCTCTGGTCCTCCTGGCAGAAGAGTTTTAGCAGTTCTTGATGTACCTTACATAGGTCCTTCTCCTGGAGACTGGGATGCTGGCGAGCCATCTCAGCCACTTTGGTCAACAGGCGGTTAGGTCGGAGGTTCCTCTGAGGGGATACCTCCCTGCACTCTGGACAGGGGAAGGAACCTCTCCGCTTTCGTCTCCCTTTTTTCCCTCTCCCTTTGTCCCAGCTCATTTGGATGCATTCTCGGCAGAAATTATGCCCACAGGCAGTCATCACTGGATCTGTGAAGTAGTCCAGGCAGATGGAGCAGGTGGCCTCCTCTTGCAACTTTCTGGTAAGTTCCACAGCATCCATGGTTCCTGGTAAGAAATCAGGTAAGCTGTTTACCTTTAAATACATCTCAAAAAGTCTGAAGTGAGCAGTCTTTCCTCAAATATCCAAGTCATAGTACAACCACTATTGAAGGCGGTATAATGCTTTTTCACAAAGGTGGAAATAGCAATAACATTTGACCCAGCAATTCCACTACTAGGAATATACCCTAAAGAAACCAGAGCTGCCACTCAAACAGATATATGCACAGTCATGTTTATTGCTGTATTATTCACAATAGCAAAGAGATGGAAGCAATACAAGTGCCCATCAACAAATGAATGGATAGAAAAACGATGGTATATTCACACAGTGGAATATTATATAACACTGAAGAACAAGGAACTCATAAAATATTACATAACATGGGTGACCCTGACGGACTTTATGCTTTGTGAAATATCTCAGTCACAAAAGGACAAATACTGTATAACATCAATGCTATAAATAGGACTGACATGTGAGATGGAGGGACCTAAGGAGAGAGGGGATAAACAATGAACACTACATTGGAACAGATGAAGGAAAGAACTATTTAAGAGGAGTATATGATTAGGTAATATTTGTATGACAACAGTCCAGAATAAGAGGTGCACCACAAAGTAGACTCAGAGGAAGGGATGAAATTAGGCAACAACAAATGAATTTTTTTTAAAGTGAACTGGGGGGGGGGCGGGGAGGGAGGGAAATGTGCAACAGTGAATGAATAAAAATACAACTTTTCTACAAACTTTCATTAAAATCACAATTAGAAAAAAGAAAAAATCCAAGTCAACCTTGCCCAGAAAGCTCAGTGGTTTTATTCCAGATGCTGTTTATGCTATGAAAGTAGAAAATAGGGATCCTTATTGGTGTTACCAGTTGTTAACCAGAAAATGTGTGAACTCATAGACATTCTGCAGCATAAAAATGTGGACTATCCACCTGTTATGATTTGCAGAACCTGATGGAGGATTGTTAGGACGTTATGGCAGGAAGTTTGCCTTTTGGCCTGGGGTACTGACAAAACAAGATTGAGTTGCTAACCAAAAGTTGGCAGTTTGAGTGCAGTAGCTATATTAAAGGGAGAAAGATGGGAAATCTCCTCCCATTAAGATTCACAGCCTCAGAAATGTAATCATGGGTCAGAATTTACATGGAGGAAATAAGTTGCTTTTGATTTGGTATTTGTCATTTTAGACCATTCAATCAGAGGCACAAATGTTTCCTAAGAAACCCATAAAAGGAAGAAAAACAAAGCTCTTCCACTGCAGAGGGAAGTGTGAGTGAGGGAAAACACGCATGTACACAGGCATACACACAGAAACACACTAAAATA